ATAATGGTCCAAATAAGCGACTTCAGTGACAGAAAAATGAAGATCCAAAAGTTGTTGTCTGTCATACACCAGCAGAGAGTTGATGTCACAGATGTGAAATGCAAAAAACAAAAATAATCCGAACACCATCAGCAGAGGTGGATTGCAAGCCATGTACACGGGCGCCATCTTACCGGAAGTTCATCAGTACCAGTCAAAAATTGTGCAGCAGCATTTTGTACCAGCTGTAACCGTGAGAGTGAGGCCTGGCTAACTCCTATCAACAGAGAGTTACAATAATCCAGGCGTGAAGTAATAAAAAAATAATAAAATTAGTGAAGACTGTCATTTTAAGAAACTCCCACCAAGCTGTCACAGAGGAGCTGATATTGATGCTTTTAAAGCATTCCTGTCGTTTTATGTTTGAGCTAATGAATGGAACGTCCGAGATCATTATATTATTGCAAAGTGTCTGTTCTACGTATAGCCAGGGTTCATCAAGGGGTGTGTGTTTTATCCATCTTGAGATGTATTCTATCCTGTTGACTACAAAGTAATAATATAAACTGGGTAGCTCTAGTCCTCCTTTATCTTTGGTCTTCTGTAGTGTTTTTAGTTTAATATGTGGGGGGGGGGGTTTATCTTTCCAGAGAAATTTAGAGATGGAGGAGACCAGGGATCTAAACCAGTCAGATGATGGTTTATTTGGGATCATTGAAAATAGATAGTTTATTTTAGGCAAAACCATCATTTTTATTGAAGCAATTCTTCCCATGAGAGCTAAGGGTAGAGATTTCCATCTAGCAAGGTCACTCTCAATTTTCTTTAAAAGTGGGATGTGGTTTTGTTTTGTTTAATCTGTCAGTCTAGGCGAGACATTGATACCCAAGTACGTAATATTCCCTGACTGCAGTTGTGTAGTAAGTGAATTGTTGAAATAGCAATTAATTGGTAGAACTGTGGATTTTATCCAGTTTATAGAGTAATCTGAAACTTTTGAAAAAGAGTTTATCAATCCAATAACCTGAAAGAGGGAGGTTTGTGAATGCTGGAGGAAGAGCAACACATCATCAGGATATAGACTGATTATGTGCTCTATGTTCTTACATTTTATGCCTTTAATATCTGTAGTTTGCCTGATTGCTGCGGCTAGCGGTTCGATGAAAATAGCAAACAGTGAGGGGGAGAGTAGGCATCCCTGCCAGGTGTCCCTTTGCAGATGAAAGCTAGTTGATATTTGATTATTTGTCCTAATGCATGCTTATGGGGAACTGTATAATACAGTGCCTTGCGAAAGTATTCGGCCCCCTTGAACTTTTCAACCTTTTGCCACATTTCAGGCTTCAAACATAAAGATATAAAATTTAAATTTTTGTGAAGAATCAACAACAAGTGGGACACAATTGTGAAGTGGAATGAAATTTATCGGATGTGTCAGACTTTCTTAACAAATAAAAAAACTGAACTTGGCACCATACTTTCCCAACAATTTTAACTTAATCAACTTTTTAAACATATCAATTGTTTAAGAAATTTTTATGGCGATGTCAAGGCAAATCCATGATCCTATTCCCTGGATTACAACGCAGCGCTCCTTCAGATTAGTTCTAAATGGAGGTTTTACAAACATTTCCATTCCCTTAAGGTTATAATGTCTCTCTCTTTTTTTTAAACAAATTTTAATTGAATATTTGGGGGTAATATATTTTATGAGCTTTATACATGACTTTTAAAATAATATATTCAACCAAATCATAACATTTTAATAATTTCAACTGATGAAATAATATATTTGTTGGGTGACCATAGCATAATAATTCTTATAGCTCTTTTTTGTAAAATAAAATAGGGTTTGTAATTGTTTTGCATGTTTATTTTAATGATAACTTAATAAGTTGGAACCAAGTTTGTATTTTTACAAATTCTGCCTGTATCATCTCTGACATCCGTTCAATATCTTCACCCGAACAAAAAAAAAAAAAAAAAAGTGGCATCATCTGCAAATAAAACACACTTCAAAAGCCCTGACACATCAACCAGATCATTCACATACAAAATAAACAACTTTGGTCCCAACACAGAGCCTTGAGGAACTCCACATCCATTAACACAAAATTCAGATCTTACATCATTTACTTGTACAAACTGTCTCCTATTATTCAAATAACTGGATAACCACTGTACTGCCAATCCTCTAATGCCATATTCAGTTTTTCAAGGAGAATGGTGTTGTCAATAGTGTCGAAGTCCTTTTTTAAATCAGCAAAAACGCTAACACAATACTGCTTTTTGATCAACAACAGTTGTTATCTCTTCTAGTACTTCCATGAGCTACTGATGATAAGTTTTTTGCTCTAAACCTACAAGTATTTGCTGATGAGCTGTAAAACTAAACTCTCTCTCAGGTTGTAGGTCTGCCTCGAAGACTCAGACCAGCCGGAGACAACCACATCATCTGCAAAAAGTAAAACTGGTGAACAAAGCCAAGCTTCCACTGCCAATGGCTGCGTTCTTAAGAGTGTCATACAACGTGAAAAATGTTTAAAATACATTTTTAGACAAAGTGTTTAAAAAATGTATTATTTAAAATATTAATTAAAAAAAGATAGCTGTTATAACTGATTACAGAATGAAAGTTAAACTCTCCAGTGATGAACAACTAAATTAAAAGTCAATGAAAGTACTGATCATATGTGCCCTGTCAAACAGAACCGAGGGTTACGTCATAATGTGGTATCAGTGCTTAAGTGCAGTGGTCGAAATTTTTACAATAATTACATATTGTCAAAATGTGATGAAAGAATACCGTACATTATCCAATGGTCTCTTGAATTAAATGTGCACAATTATTAAAGGATGTTTTGAAGGATTTTTATGAGCAGTACCAAGGATGAATTTGAACAGCAAATCCTTAAATTTTTACTATTTTCCTTGTGGTAGTAAAATATATTTTATTATGTTACTGAAAGTTGTGTACATCTACGGTCTGCAGTATAAAACCGTATTTAATGCATATTAAACCGATGCAGAACCTTTATTTCCGGGTTTTTGTTTCCAGCAGGAAGGAGTTTCAGTTACATTTGTTTCAGAGCCTGCTTCAGACCTTTGAATAACGTCACAATAGCAAAGCTCTTTTTCTTTCCAGCTGGTAATTTCCAATATCCAAAAATGTTTTAAGGTTTCCTTTTTTAAAATAATGTCAAGAAATCCTCATTGGAACACAATAATATCAGGATTCAGACTGATTTTACGGATGTTATCCTGATTAGCAAGACAAACCAAGACACATCTCTGGAGCCGCTCATGATATCAGGGTGATCTAATAGATGATCAAATCAAAATGATGATGATCGAATATCAAAATGTAGCTTCAAAAAGGGCAGGGAAAGGTGTTTGTTCAGTTTGACTAAATCTGACTTAATCCTTGACGGGGTCGCATGTCGTGACCAAAATGACCTCACAAAATGGAGTATTAACTTTGAGTGACGTTGCACCGAGAAGGTCGTCGGATAGAATCCCTGCCGGTGACCTTTCTGGGTGGAGTTTGCATGTTCTCTCTGTGCATGAGTGGGTTTTCTCCGGGCACTCCAGTTTCCTCCCACGGACCAAAAACATGCATGTTAGTAACTCTAAATGGTCCCTAGGTGAGAGAGAGAGAGAGAGAGAGAGAATGAATGTTTGTTTGTCTCATGTGTCCCTGTGATGGACTGGAGACCTGTCCAGGGTGTCCCCCACCTCTCACACAGTGACTGCTGGATATGGCCACCAGTGACCCCGCAACCCAAAAAGAAAGAAGCTGGTAAAGATAATGGATGGATGGACATATATAAACACAGATGTACACGCTTGCATCTATACATTTCTTGAGCCAAAGTTTTCCTATGACCGTTTCTCTACTTACAGAGAAATAAAACGTCTCGAGTAAAAATTACTTGTCTTTTCAAAAGCATTTTGGCTCAAGCACAGGCTAAAATAATTCACCATTCAATAAAGAAAAGCTTTCAGAAGCTGGGCACTTTAACTAAAAAAAAAAAGAAGTAATTTTATTGTTGGTCAGAAGATCTTTAAAGACAATGGAGCATGACGTTATGATCGGACAAAGAACTGCAGTGGTGCAAACATGTTTTCTTCACGCAACAGCTTTCATGCACTTCTCCTTGAAATAATTTTCAAACATCTCAGTAATGTGAAGCAAGAGTAACTCCTTTAACACTGAACTAGTTGTAGCCCATCAAATAATGTCGATTATCTTGCAACAAATGACAGCAATCCAGCGGGGAACAGCTCAGAGCTACAGTACCTTACATCCACTAACCTTACACAGCTCTTTCAAATGCAAATCTGCCTTTATTTTGCTTTTGACACACAAATTCCTCCCTGTACACCATCAGTATATCAAACTAGTAGACAAAAAGAGATGTCTCTCAGGAGGAACGTATGAATGATGATGCCAGTATTATGGCCACGGTAAAAAATAAAATAAAAGTTTTGAGTCACTGTGATGCCTCTGAGCATCTCTCTTGCATCTGAACAGAACCAAGGCAGTCGGGGGAAACGTCCAGACATCCATCCATATACAGATAAAATGGAAAATTGGAGACCTCTTAAATATAATTTGGAAAAATATCACATTACAAAGAAATCGCAGCCTAACATAGATGTGATTATCCGTCAAATTGTCTTTGCTGGGGTAAATCCAGGTGGACCAGAAATCTGTTAAATGGGTTTCCTGCAAATACGGGAAAAATATTTAACAGACCCAAAAGTCTTCTTTGTTCAGAGAACAATATAATGGATTTCTACCAATCTGCCATTCATATGTCCCAGTGCACTAAACCAAACACCATCCTGGTGGCAATTTTCTGTCTGCTGCCAAAATCAGAGAAGTTCACAGGCTTAAAATACAATTTCTTGGTGATCGGCCATGTGAAAAGATATCTGTTCATATTTGTAATTTCACATGACGGCTCCACAGGTGTTTGCTTTCGTTCTCCAGGTCAGAAGCACCAGTCTGTGTTCACAACAAACGCTTCTCTAAAGGGGGAGTTTAATCTGCTTTTCCATTTATTTAGTTCAAACACGAGCCTGGAGGAGGAGAAAGACTCGAGAAATTGATTGAGACAAATGTGAGATGATGTGTCCAATACATGACAACCACCCCTTGGCTTTAACGGATGATTCATTGTGCTTCTGAAAAGGAAGCTGTAAAAACGTGTCCAACAGCAGAGAGAAACAGGGTTTTATCTCGTCAAATAACAGTTTTTAAATAAAGTAGAACAGCAACTTTGACCAATTTTAACACTTTTTATGACCGGAAAATTATTTTGTGTTGTGACAAAGACACAAAAAAACATCACTGAAACTCACGAGAACGCTTCAAGTAATTCTATAGACAAGTGCTGCTCACTGTCACAGCCCAGTGAGATACTACTGTCAGTGTCTTACCTGCAGCACCTTCAGTCAGTGCACTCGCTTTGAAGCTGTGACGATTTCTGACGAGGAGCAAAGCGAAACTTTAGACAGAATGGGGACTTTAGATCTCTAATATCTCAAATTTAAGCTAAAATATTTTAAAAATCAAGCTTCATATGCTGTTTTCATCAGGCAGTTGTTTACTTTGTCACTATTTGAATGTATAATTGTGTCTTTGGGTGTGAACATATGGATGCTGATCTCTTGTTTTAACTGCAATAAAATCTAAAATGAAACATTTTAGCCAACACAGCTTGAAAATTTAATTTCTGACAGATTACAAGACAGCAGCTGCGTAAATCATTTCGTTACATTAATGTTTCATTTAAATGATAATTTTTCAATTCAAATAAACTCATTTTAAATGTGAAAATATACCAACTCTTGTTAAAAAAAAAAAAGTGAAATCATTTCTGGCAAAAATTAAAACAGTAAAACTTGAAGCCCACGGGTGTGAACTAATGACGCTGGTGAACTTTCACACAAATCAATACTTTAAAGAACATTACGACTGATTTTATAGTAAAAAACTAACTCGTTTTGAGTCTTTCTAAACTTACTCACCAACGAACTCCGTTTACATCAGCAGTAGTGACTCAGTCAAACGAGCTAATATTTACGCTTAATTTTACTAAAATAAATACCCAAAAGGCTAATCGTCTGAATGAAAAGAAACTACCTAATTACAGCATTAGCTTTCTTTGAGCCCAAAATGGTTTCTAATGAAGGAGTTCAAAAGCAAAGAATATCTCAAAGAATAATAATTTATAATAAACATACTAAAAACACAAACATTAAGGTGTGATTTTGCATGAAAAAGTCTGGTTTTCCACCTCTGCTGCCTGGGCAGCTTCATGGATGGGTCAAAGGTTAGAAGCAATCTATAACTTCTAACTTCTAAAGTTAATTAGGGACAAAGCAGCATTTACTCTGCACGGTGGTGCCCTCGGATCAGTCCCTGTGGGCTACTCATTAAGATGCAAATAGTGTGATTGTGTACTGCTAAAAATAAGAAAAAGAAAAAAAAACACTGCGTACTTTTCTTCTTCTGTGTTTTAACAGACATCAAACATGAGAATCAAATCCTTCGGATGATATTAACATTACCAGATTTAATTATTAAAAGGCTTCTCAAAGGACAGAAATCAAGATGGAAAGCATGCCTTTTTTCCTTATACAGGAAAATCATTATGAGAAGTGAAACTTTTACACATAAATCCAAATAAAATATATATCTCTATTTTCGGCATTATCCGGTTTAATGTGGCTCCGATAATTCACGTCATAAGAAACTAAAACTCCTTCGGAAACATGTTTATTTTATTTACGGATTTGTATCCTAACAGAAGATCCTGAAACTAAAATCTAAATTTCAGGTCAAGTCTCTAAATTTTCTTGCCTTACTTGAGGTTTCTTTTTTTTTTTTTTTTTACCATTTAGAGTAATTTATTAGGGATGCACGATATTATCGGCATGGTATCGGTATCGGCCGATATTAGCGCTAAAGCCAAATATCGGAAATGGGCCATTCCATCAAAATAACTCACCGATATAAAAGACGCTGTTTTTGTATGACAACCCAGTGACAAGGATGCCTGCAGCGCCAGCATAACGTGACGACGTCACGTGCACCTTCCTGATCTGATCACGGCGGAGAGGAAAATTCAAAATGACGGCGATGTGGACGTTTTTTTTTCTATATCGAATTCCAAAGATTTATGGACTACGTTGAGCCTCGCTACATCGTCCCCAGTTGCAGATATTTTTCTGACGTAACCTTACCCGAGTTACAAGCCGTCATTTCTGACGTCATTGAGAAGCTAACAGCCGATAGCGCTTGGGTGAGTTTTACCACAGACATTTGAATGTCAAGTGTTAGCCTCGTTAGCATGATTAGTCTTACGGCACAAAGGAGAGACAAAAACTTTGCACTTCAAAAGACTGTCCTTCATGCACAGGAGTGCAGAGGATCCCACACTGCAGCTATAGGAACCTGGAACAAGCCTCCACAAGTGAGACAGCATCACAGGTGACTAATGCTAATAAATAACATTTAACACTTTTCATTTAATATAAGTTAAAGTGCTATGTATATCATATGGCTGTTACTGAACATATGTCACCAGCTCTTACAGCTTTTACACATTTTTTGTAGCAAATAAGCCTAAATAAGAGGGTTATGTTCTGAAAAAGGAAAGCATATTAAAAATATTGGTATCGGTTAACGGCCCAAGAAGTTTTAACATGTCGGCCAAAAATCCAATATCGTGCATCCCTATAATTTATAACACAAAGTGATCCCTGTTTTTTCCTGTCAGTGAAAAATGCTTGTAACGCCGTCTTCTTTAGAGGGATTGAGCAAAAATATTGGTATGGTAGTAGCTGAGAGTCATCGCTGACACATATGATGAGTGCTAATGAGTCAAGCTAATATTTACGTCAAGAAATGCCATTTTCATTTTTAAGGAACTGACACCATGTTGACTTCTTGGAAAAAAAAAATCATAATAAACATTTTAAACTCTACTCTTTGTGCGTTCACAGTGACGCCCAATGTGCTGGAGGTACACTCGGCCTGAGCACAGATTAATTTTTTTAGCTAGATGACTGTTTGCTTAATCTGTATGTTCTATTTTACTCATATGACTGGGTTTTGTAGCCAAATAATTGTGCTGCTTCTGACAGTTGAGGACACCCCCCCCCCCCAATCACAGTGACAGTTGGCGCTGATGAAAGTGGGATTATTTCTGTGCAGCTTCTGTGACTTCTCCATCCATCTAAATGTGCACTCTTGCCTCCCTGTCCTTTCACCAAAGAGCAGAGACGCTGATGCCACATTAATTTCAAGAAGATATAAATGTCAGGTTGAGCACTTAAAAACGATGAAATATCAGTATCGCTCCTTTGCATACCCAATAAGCCCCATATTTATATAAAGATCACCTCTGAAGAACAAACATTTCCTTTAAAGCTGGGAAAGGTTTTGCTAACCGACTTTGCGCTCACCATAAAAGAGATTTAAGTTCGTCGAGCTTTCCATTAACAGTTTTGAAAACAAAACAGATTAGGAGAAAGGAGCACCCCTCCTAAAGTTTGATGCTCTTTTCTGTCATGAAACAAACTCACTCTTACCCTCCATTTAACTTTACAGCCTTGCTCCAGTACACTTCCAACCTGCGAGTGTTTAATTAAAGCTTTTCAGGATGCAGCCGAACCCTCTCGGTGTAATAAGCACAACAGTTTGCTCGGATCATCAGGTTGTTAAAACGCGGCCTGTGAAATGACTGGAGGAAAACGGTGATGCTGTTTGTTCGGTCTGAGCTGAGTGCCTCCTGCGAAGATAATATTTTACATCAACCCTACAGAATGTAAAGCTACACTTCCAAAAATGGAAAGCAGAGCAGACACAGCTCCAGCTTCAACGTATTTTTAAAGGTAACCGACAGATATTCAAGAAGAAAAAGGAGGTAAATGTATTTTGTGGAGCAGAAAAATAAAGAAAATGGCACAACAGTACTCCAGATCTGCTCATTTTGCCACTGGTGACTCTTATTTCTTTGCTTTCTACAGAAGGCATAAGGGCACTAATCGGGGCTTAATTTGAGCCGGATCCTGTCGGAACATGAACCGGGAACGCTTTTATTTTGACAGGGTGCGCTCCGGTAACTGTTTGCTTGGATCCGATAACTCTCAGGCTTACTAAAAATACATTATGAAAGCAAGCTTAGTTCTCAAACCTTAGATTCATCAAAATATTGAATAAATTTGGAATAAACGATGAAACAAATGGTAAAATCTATGACTTTTTTCTTGCATGAGTTGGATCCTCAATGCCACCTGTCAATCATCCAGTGGGCTCGTCAGCAATTGACCAATCGGCGATCTCAATTTGTCCTGAAACGCCCTTACCTGCAGGAGCTGGGGGGGGGGGGGGGGGTAGGATGCGTGAGAGAAGCAGAGCGTGCTAAACAACTAGTAAGATAATAGATAATCCTGCACTTAATAGGCTACAGTCATAAATAACACAAAAAGTGTTTAAAAGTAAATTTTAAACATGAATTGGTTTGGTATTTTGACATTTATGCACCTAAGAGTTGAGTTATGTATGTGTTCCGGTATCCGTGTTGACCTCAGTGAACTTTGGTCTCACATCGCTATTTGTATTACGGCATCGTTTGGTTTTCAAATTAAGCACTGGCAATAATGTTTTGCCCATGTGTGTGTGTTTGTCTGTATCGTTAATTATCTCATGAACCTCTACTCATGGTGGTTGGAGGAGGGGGCGGTTGTCCGCGGTACAGCGGAACAGCACTGGACTGGATTTGGTCCTACTTAGCCGAGCATACTTTCTGTGTCTGCCTTGGTGATCACGTGATGATGGTGATCCTCTGCTCCTCTTTTGTGTGGGGTTCCACAGGGCTCAGTCTTAGGCCCACTCCTCTTCACGATGTACCTGATCCCCCTTGGCTCTATTTTTTAGAGAATATGGGATCTCCTTTCATTGTTATGCAGATGACACACAGATATATGTGGCAGCACGACAGCTCAGTGGTTAGCACTGTTGCATTACAGCAAGAAGGTCCTGGGTTCAATCCCCGGTTGGACCTGGGGTCTTTCTGTGTGGAGTTTGCATGATCTTCTTGTGCTTGCGTGGGTTTTCTCAGGTACTCCGGTTTCCTTTCACAGACCAAAAACATGCATGTTAGGCTGCCTTCAGGCCTCCCTTGCAAAATAAATCTGTGACCTCAATGGGATGTGCCTGGTTAAATAAAGGTTAATAATAATAGTAATAATAATATGTCCCACTAAAGAAAAAGGACTTACTCTCTGGCCCCTCTGTTTTTATGTCTGGAGGACATAAAAGCTTGGATGGCTGTGAACTTCTTAAAGTTCAATGAGGAAAAGACTGAGGTTAACGATCTTTGGAAGCTCCACTGAGACTCCCAATGTAGATGTTGGTTCCTTGGCCCAGTACATCAAGCTAACTATTACAAACCTAGGGGTCAAAGTTAGAAAATCACATCAGAGCAGTTGTTAAATCTAGTTGTTTTTTTTTCCCCATATCAGGTAACTGGCTAAAGTGAAGCCAATTCTTTCCCAACAGCATTTTGAAACAGTAGCTCACCCCTTTGTGACCACTCGGCTGGACTACTGTAACACACTCTTTATAGGAACCAGTGATTCATGTATCTCTCAGCTTCAAAGGATACAGAATGCTGCTGCACAGCTTTTAACTGGCACACAAAAGTTTGACCACATTACCCCTGTTTTAGCCTCCCTGCACTGGCTGCCTGTACATTCTAGGATTCATTTTAAAATTATTTTATTTGCTTTTAAAGCTCTTAATGGACTTGCCCTGTGTCTGAGTTGTTACATCCGTACACATCCTCTCGATCCTGCAGGTCATGTGATCAGCTGCTCCTGAACGAGCCGAAGACAAAGCGTATGTCACTCACAACTACTTCAGGTGCATGAGATTGCTTGTGGTTTTATCGTCTAGGTTTGACCAAAAAGGCTGCCGTTTCTCAACATGAGATGATTTTAGGCTAAAACTCTGACGTGAAAAGCTGAAGGTGACATGCATTCATAATGCTAGGCCTTGAATTTGAAATTTAGAAAAAAATATAGTGACCTAAAACATTTAGTTTCTTTATTTAAAAAAATCTTTTTTATACCATTTGAATGAATAGAAACAAAGACAACAGTTACAGCTGGGTCTGTGTGTACAGGCAGAGTTAAGCAAAAAGAAAACTATGGAACAAGAACTTCAAAACTTTTATATTTGTGATTATGTAATTTGATGTTTTGAACAGGAAGTAGTTTTGGAGCACATGTCAAACATGACTCAAACGCACACGGCATACAAAAGTAAATACTCTCACATCACGCCGAGCATGTAATCATCACGGCCGAACTGCTTTGACCTTTTTATAGCTGCCTTTAATACTTGCAGACCTGTCCTTGTGTCAACCCAACTTTAATGTACTTCCTCGGGCTATGTTTAAATCACTTCGCTCCACTTACCCCCGATTCTTCCTCCACTCCTCTTTGTCCTCATCATACATGCTCTCTCTTCCCCCTCTGTCTCCTATCTGCAACTCTAATTGTCTTGCGTTGCCAAACGAGCCAGCCAATTGTGCCTCCAGTTAAAAGCTGATGAGGATTTCGGCCTTTTCCTCCTCCTCCTCCTCCTCCGACTCGTTCCGAATCTAAATAAAGATGGGTGGGAAGAGACGAATGACTATCGCTGCTCGGTGCAGAGCTGACGACCACAGTCTGTGTCAGGCAGCTTAGACATTTTCTAATGTCCCATGTGAGTCCTAGCACCAGTGTTGTTTTCGTTAACGATGACGATGACGAAAACTTTTCGTCTACGCCCCCTTTTTTCATGACAATAATGAGACGGTAACGAAATAAACATTGCTCTTTAATGACTAAAACATGACGAAATGTGTGTGAGTTTTCGTTGACGAGATGAGACTGTACGAAAATGTTTGTCGGTGGTCCGTCAATAATTTAGAATGCACAATATTTCTGCCCATTGGTCACACCCACTGCTACCCAACCACGCTGATGCACCGCGCGCTCACCTTTGACTTCATTTCAAACTGGACCATGGCAGATGCTGCACGTTTTACGAAGGGGCTCGGTGGACGCAAACCCAGAAAGGATTTATGGACTTATTTTGTATTTAACCCAACTGAAAGAAGAACCGAATGTATCGTCGAGGGAGACGGAGGTAAATGTGGATTTAAACTTGGTGGAAAAAACACGACAAATCTTAAGCGGCACCTGAAGGCTCACCACCCTGATATTTTTTCCAAGGTAAGTTAGTTACAACTACTATTTTTGTAATGTACATACATGCAATGTTACTTGACAAACCAAACGGGTTGTGACACATTTCACAACTCCAGTTTCGTGTAAACAATGTTTTTTTAATTTTATTTTTATAAATCCTGTCCTTGCTTGCGCACGTGGATGCTAACTTCGTGCTATTAGCTTGTTTGTTGTGCTAATCTAACGTCGGCTACTGTTACGTGTAAAACATGCAGGGATGTATGGCTGATAGGTTGTGTTTGAGTGACTGAATATCAAACCTGTTGCTGTTACCCCATGTGTCTGTCGGGTCTGCATCCTTTAAACCAAAAACCCATTTTAGCTAAACACTACTTGCATTACATTTTAAAATGAGACAACCAACATTTGTCTGATAAATGTTTACAGTAAAAAGTGTTAGGGGGCCAAAAAATACTTCATTTTAAATAAATAAATTGAATCAAAACATTTGCAAAAGAGAAAAGATACATTTTCTTAGATTGAGTGTTTATTGGTAGAAGAAAAATGGACAAAGTAATGTAAAAAATACCCCCCCAAAAAAGCTGTTTTCAATCTAATGAAAAGAAAAATAGTATTAAAAATACTGGTTATGTTAGTGTCATTCTGGATTGAAAATCTTAATGCCAATTAGCAAAAAATAGGTAAAGCTGACATTTATCTGTATTCAAATTTCAAAAGCATCTGCCTGTGTTAAATGTTTGGTACTTCAGACTAAAAGCTACAAGGGCACCTCAGTGTTGTTTTTCTGCTCTGAACCCTGAGCAGAAAAACATTAACACTGCACTAAAGTATTTTTTCATTTATCACAAGTCATATCATCATCGCAATATGATGCACTGTTCTTGCACATCACAGGATTTCCTAATATCAGACAGCCCTAGTGCACTTTTAATAATCTAACTCAACTGTACAGATACATTAGAAATTTGGCCATTGCACAATATAGAAAGATCAGATGACTTACGTAAGGAGGACAGGGTGGATGCTATTCATCTGGTTATTAACGTATCAGAAAGATTTTTTTGTTTGCTTGTTTGACAGCTAGTCATTCTGTTTTCTTAACATGGTATTTAGTAAGATATGTTGACACAAATCATTATGCACAATATATGTACATATAGACATATAAATAATTTTTTAAAGATATACATACATTTGATTATTTTATATTCACTTATAGATTCTTTACAAGAGGTGTACATTGTATATACAGAAAGAATAATTATCTTCTCGCCTTGCTTTTTTCTCATTCAGATCCCAGAGATCCTAACTCCTAAAGAGAAACCTGGTGGTCCAAAGAACGACAGGTCACAGTCATCTATACCAGCAGCCTTTGCCGCAGGATCTAAATATAAAACAGATTCTCAGGAACAACATGCCAAAGAACAGGCGATTGCTCTTTGGATTGGACGAACAGGTCTACCTGCTTGCACAGTTGAGGATGAAGATTTCATCCTTATGATGGAGACCTTTGATAAGAGGCTCACCATACCGAAAAGAACAAAAATAAACAACTTGGTTGACAAGATTTATGATGGTGAAAAGCAAAAGTTCAAAGAGAGGCTTGCAACAGCACACAAAATAACAATTGGACTGGACATATGGACCAAAAAAGGCCTTACAGCATCATTTCTAGCAATTAGTGCATGCTTTTTTTGCACTGTTGAAAACAAAGCACAGCACATACTGTTGAGACTTGACCAGCTCCCTCACCCACACACTGCTGAGTGTATAAAAACCCATGTTGATCAATGTACAGAGGACTGGGGAATACCCCAACACAAAATTCTGACAGTCATAACTGATAATGGAAGCAACATGATTGCTGCGTTCAAAGCTAATGAGCCGGATGAACTCAGTAGCTCTGAGGATGAATCCGTCGATGTGAGCGACACAGAAGACCCTGAAGTGATTGGACAAGACCAAAGGTAAATTGTTTTAATTTACTGTTAAGATTTTTAGTGTGTCATACGCTAGGTTATAATCAATTTTAGCAACTGTTTATGACAATTTTATTGAATTTCCTATATGATATTAAGAAAGTTTCTTTTTCTCTGTGTTTTGTCCTCTCTATCTAGGTTTGGAGCCATAGATAGGACCCCATGTGTTGTACACACACTGCAACTCGTTGTGAACATGATCCAGAAGGATGCAAGTATAAACCGACTGCTGGGCAAAGTTAGACTGCTTGTCAAGCTCTTTCGCAAGTCATCAGTGGCAACACAGCGTTTGCTCCAGGTATGTCAACTAACTGTGGTCAATGACTGCCCTACTAGATGGTCCAGCACATACCTGATGATATCACGACTTCTCCAAATCAAGGACTCAGTAGTTCAGGTTGCAGATGAGATGAGCTGGGACTATCTACTGCCAAGTGAGTGGCAGAAGTTGACTGCTCTTAGAGATTTACTTCTCCCCTTCGCTGAGCATACTCAGATGCTCCAGAGTGACACACAGTCTTTATCCCTTGTGTTCCCTTTTATTATAATATTGGGCATTTGTACTTCATTGCACTTTAGCACATTTTGAGAAATAAAGCCACAAAGTGAGAATGTTTTTGTTTTGGGCATTTTTGGAGTACCAGTATTTGATTCCACTATTAAAACAAATTACTCAAATTAATTTGTAAAGACTAATATGTTTTCTATTTATTTTAAAGACTAAAACTAGACTTAAAATTTTAAAGTTTTTGTCGACTAAAGCTGGACTAAAACCATTAAATATAGAAATGACTAAAACTGACTAAAACTAAGAAGTATTTTTGTCTAAAAGACTAAGACTAAAACTAAAATCAAAATGGCAGTCAAAAACAACACTGCCTAGCACCCACATCTTTGTTGCTTTAGCATCATGTCAATGCCATTTTCATGGCTCAGCTGATGTGAACACTGAGTTAGTGATACAAAGACGGAGCACAAACTCAGTTTCTGTCTTTTCCCTGAATGCACAGCTTCACAACAAATCCACATGTCTCGGGCAGCACTGGAGAGTTTGCTTGAGAATGAACAGTTAATAAACAGAGAGTTGGAGGACGTTTGGAACGAGTCAAACAGTCTCACTGTCAGAGTGCAACAAGACAAGTTGGTTTTTGTTACACACACAGTTATGCTTGGCAGGAATTAATGATGAAACTCTATAATAGGATCAATGAGGCTCCTTGTTTCTTCTTAAAACATAAATGTTGCCTGACTGTCCGTTTGCAGTTTAATGTTCTTTATTTTGGTCTCCAAAAGTTCTTTTAATAAATTATCTAAACTTCAGTGTTACACAGTAGATACACATCCCCTTCACATATAATGGTTGCGACGCCTATGGTTCAGTGGTCCATGAGATAAACTTCTGTCTCGCCCTACTCTTCCACTTGAGCGGTTCCACTTCGCCTCAAACTCGAGTCCTTTACCAGAGGCCTGGGAGTTTTAGGGTTCTGTTCAGTATTTCAGCTGTTCTTAGTATGGTGCTCTTCTGGACAGAGATCTCTGAGGTTCTTCCTGGGGTCTGTTGGAGCCACTCATCCAGTTTGGAGGTCACAGCACCAAGTGCTCCAATGATCACTGGGACTACTGATGCTTCGACTCTCCACAACTTCTGTATTTCCTCTTACAGCCCTTGGTGTTTCTTGAGATTCTCTTGCTCCTTCATGATGCTACTTGGGATTGCTACATCTGTCACCAATGCCTTCAATCAACTCAGTTCTCAGTAGTAACGTCCAAGTATGTGTGTCACTATATATATATATATATATATATATATATATATATATTTACGTGGCAACTGTCGCCATTAACATAAACTCTAGCTCAATGAAACATGATTGTTTTGTGATTCAATGTGTTTATTCTCATAAACGTTCTCTTTTGAAAAACAGACAGAGGAAACCTTCAAATGCAGCATCTTCTAAGAGTCTCTTTGTGAGATAAATCTCTAAATTCAAGGTAAAGAAAAAACCTGTAAAAAGAACAAAGACTAGTCTTAATAATCTGGTTTATAGCTCCTCAAATTACCAACCCTTTCTATAAAAAAAAAAGTAGCACAACATCTTTTTTTAAGTGCTTCTTTCTCAAAGCTACTGCAGAGTAAAAGTCAGAGCTGCATGCTTGCAACAACCCACATCAACAAATTAAACTGTGTTTCTACACAGACATTCAGCTCGTGTTGACATAAATTGCTTAGGAATTAAACTATTTCATTAAATTTGCAGCAGCCAACGTGATACAGACCCTGTTCGGCTGTATTTCCAGACATACGAGCAGCAGCTGGAATCGTGTTGTTTACTCTGTTCCTCCTGCTGATCTGTCCTCCTTCATGAAGTCATGCTGGTGGCAGCCCTTCAGCTACAGAGCAGCTCATGAGCAGGTGATAACCGAGCACGCATTCTCAAACTGAGACGTGCAGATACAGAGCCGGATTCCTCGAGATAAATTTTGTTCGGTTTACTCAACAGAACGTTCCAACAACAAAACATTTCAGCCCCTTTCTCTGACTTTAGAGCAGCCGCAGACAAACACCGGCGTTTTGTTGATGCGGCTCTGACTCCTTGCTGCAGAGAAAGGATTGATCTTCAGTCATTGTTCAGATGTAAGATGTGTTTGGTAAGAATCTGTAAACACCTACTCCTTCCTGACCACAAAGACAGAAAACACAGCATGTTTTCATGTGAGGTAAAACCTCGACATACATATAAAACAGTCCATAGCAGCTTTAAAACCACCGCTCTGTTGTCAGTGCTTTGTTCTGGGGTTCTTACACTCATTAGATGTATTTTACCACAAAACCACCATGAAATGTCACGTTTGTACGATGGTGCGATGCAGCAGGGCTCAAATGCTAGAAGGAAGCTTTCAACAAAACTGAAGAAACAGAGGAACCAACAACAGCAAGAGGCATGCTGGTTAACAGGAAACCTGACCAAAGAATTCAGGAAAACCAGTGAGTGTACAATGTGTACTGGGAAATGATAACTGAATGACAGCAGGTGTGATGATTACTAATGGAATACAGGTTGTATAAGAAAAGCTGGAAACATGAACAATGGAGGACATCTATAGAACAGAACACAAATGAACTGGAAAACGACAAAAACTGACCCAAACAAAGAAGATACATCTATCCTTTTTCAAATGCTTGTTCATAGTCCGATCATGAAGGTAACAGAAGCCCAGGGGTTCCCTCCTCCCAGCAACATTCTCTGGCTCATCCAAAAAGACTGAAGTTTCCAGACAGAGAGAATATTTAATCTCTCCAGAGACTTCTGTGTTGGTGGTCTCTTCCTGTAAAGATGTTCTGAATCGTACAAGTTGAGGCAATCAGAAGACCGGAGACCTCAGCTGATTTATTTGTTGGGCATGAGCTCGACTCTGAGCCCTTTTTCCAAGTCTGAGTCTAGCTACTTTACATATGGAGCACATTGTAGCTACTTGTAACCAGGATTTTGCCATTTTGAAAAACGTTTTACTTTCAGAATTCAGGTTTAGAAATCCAAAGTAAATAATTACGTGATTTATTTACAAGAAGAGGCAGGATTGATCAGGGGTTGAAGGATGTGTAAAGGACAGCCAATCGTGAGTACCGTATTTTCCGCCGTACACGTCGCACCGCCCTATAAGTCGCATCAGTTCATATTTGTCTGATAAAGTGAAAAATCAATAAATACGCCACGTATACATCACATCTATTGTGCATTGATGATGCGTAGCGTTTGTTACGCGTCACCGGTGACAACCCGGAAATCTGGTCCGGTGTTGTGCCAAAAATTGATTGGCTGCCAAATGGTGGACACGGGACCGTGCATGGGAGGGCTTTAACAAGAATTTAACAAGATTAACAATTAAAAACAATTATTTGTTTGCTCGAAATTATTATAAGTGTCTCAGTCTAACTTTTGCTTAACAAATGCACTTTGACGGTCAAATCTGCCTCGGTGCTTCGGGAGCACACAGACAGGGAGGACATCAGGAAGGAGGAACGCTGCACATTTCTTTGAAACTTAACAAGATAAGCATCTAAAACAATTAATTGTTTGCTCGACATTATAGTAAAGGCGTGTCTCAGTTGAACTTTTATTTAATAAATGCACTAAATGCACTTCAATGGCCAAATTAGCTGCATTTCGCTTTGACGGTTGCTCCAGAGCTGAACGAAGGAGTCAGGCTATGGCAAGCTGATTGTGTCATTAATAGCCACTTTTACCTATTACATGATAGAACGGCATGCCATACTACTCGAGTGCTATCTAGCAGCTGAAAATGGTAGTGTTCAATATTTTCAGTCTGAATGAATGAAAACGGTCATATCTCAGCCAAAAACCGGTTTATAAATATGGGAAAAATCTATAAATATGTTGCTTCGGTGTATAAGTTGCAGGGCATGCAAATTATGCAAACAAACAAACTAACATGACTTATACAGTGAAAAATATGGTATGTAAAATATTGATTGGTCCAGAGGTTAGGATTTGCAAACTAAACGTTCTCTGTGTGTTTTCTTCTTTCAGGTTTTGGTAAGTACCGGGTTTGGATTCCAGGCTCTGTGGCTCAGAAGGTCTCCAGGTAAATTACTCACGGAGACTCTTCAGTAGTAGGAGAGCAGGCAGGCAGAGGCTGAGTTGAGGATAGTTACCTTCTGGGATTTTGCAAAGCATGAAAGATACATTCAACAGGAGGAATTGACTGAGGAAGAGGTGTGGCTGCAGGAACAAAGGAGTCCATAAGAATTCATGAGGCAATCAAAGGTCCAGCGAAGACTCGTGATTTCACTCCGCCTTGAGAAGGAAGTCAATCAGCCGTCATAGAAGACAGCCGAGAGCAGCCAGCACTCACAGGATCTGCAGGGATGGCTAGTGGAGGCAAAGGGAGCCAGAACACTGGAATCATAACAGACCTCGCTTATTTGGTCATGAATATGGTCTATGACTCATGACCATACAGTAGGTATAGCACCTGCTCAGTGGAGCAGATCACCATTTTCTAAAGCAGGGTGCAAATTAATGTTTTTTTCTCCCACATTTTTTAACTTTATAAGTTATCACTCAGTTACAAATAAAGAGTTGTATCAAACAAGAATCGCCACATTCTCATTCTTTTTAACTTTGAGTTGGTTTAGTCCAACTGAAGTTTATAACATAATCAGACACCCATGAAGGGTTGAGGCCTTTTGACTGAGCTTCTTCATGGCCACAATCTGTCTAGCCATCTTTTGCTCCATCAAACTATCCCTTGTGAACATCGAGATACTTGAACTCCATTTTAGGGCAAGATTAATTTCCAACCAAGAGGGAGCAATTTTCTGGTCAAGACCCATGACTTCAAATTTGGAGGAGCGATACTCAGTCCCAACACTTCATACTTGGCTGAAAACCACTCCAGTTTACACCAAAGAACATCACTGGTTGAGACACCTCCTAGGACTGCAGCTTGAGATGCTACACAACTCACATCAGCAGAGAAAAATGGAAATCACACTGGAAACAAACCCAACTTTGTGACAGAAAACGATAAAGACCCAAACCATGGTACAAAACCAGTTTCAAACCAGTTAAGTCTCAAATGGCAGGATATTTCATTCATTCAACCTTTATTTAGTCCCATTGAGCATCTGGAACTCATTTATAAGAGAGACCTGATGTTAACAAAGAGTGATGTCAGCAAACAATCATAAAAGAAAGCATACAAATTGAAAAGAACAAGTGAAATAAAATGGTAAAAAAAAAATAGCTAGCAATTTAGATACTAAAAACAGGAACATGTCTGGTTTTTGCCAAGAACTTGGCAAATGTTTGAAGCCACTTAGAGAGGTCAAGGTCGAGAGCTTCAGATCTTTTTGAAAGATATTCCAGGATATAGGAGCGGAGTAGGCACACATTTCTGTTACACGTTAAACAAAGCTGCTAGAGGAGCCCAGGGTAAAGGAGCTACTCTTTAGGCCACAGAACATAATCAGCAAGAAATCATTCCTTAACAGGTTATAACTGTTGTGGTAGCACAAGTAAGACTTATTTACATAATAATATGCATTCAGGTGGTTTTAATGTTGTCCTTGATCGTTCTGAGGTTAATGCTTCTCCTTTAAACAGTGGACTCCATGGTATTTGTTTAATAAAAAGACCCTAAAGTCTGTTTTACAGGAAAAATGCATACACAGCAGAGACAGAGAACAATGAATTTGAAAGCTGCCCATTTTAAACACAAAGCTCTGGCAGTGAAATAATTGAGAAAGCACCTGGGGCTGGTGAGCAAATCAGGAAGCTTTTAAAATCGAGTGGATGTACTGTCTCACTCCCCTCAGGTTTTTAAGTGAACCGGCTCTCCTGGATCCTTACCAGACTCTCAAGCGATAAAATTGATATTGATCTTTTCATCAGACTCAAGGAAACAAAATGTTTTTATTTTATTTGAAAAAAGGTTTGAGCCGTAGTTTAGAAAATGTCTC